ATTTTTTCATAAGTTGTTCACGCGGTGTTCTGTGCGGATAACGGTTGCGATACATCTATTCACGATGATTGTTCTTCTATTTTATTTTCTACCGTGTTGAAAGAATCACAACCATTATTCGCATGGTGCTCTCCGTGCAGACAAGATATGAACAAAAATTTATTTATTATGAGTTGCGAAATTCAAGGCTTAGCAATAGTGCCGGTTACCAATGCCATGGCCTCACTTGATTCTCCCTCCCCCTTTGTGTCCTTCCAAAATTAGTATCATAATTCACAGGGAAGAAGCCGTTCCCACAAACCTATGTGTAATTAATATATATATATATATATATATATATTATGAACTCAGAAATTGGAGCATGAGCCAGCTAAAATTTAATGCAGGTTAATCTCCTCCCAAGGCTTTTAACATATCTACTTATATCAACCCACATCACTCCTTGAAAGTGGGGCCCGACAGCCAAAAAAACATTTTCTTATATATTTGTAGCAAAACGAGGATGTTCTTTATTACCCCCATCAAGGAATCATTTCATTTACTTCAATACTCCCCTTTCACTTAATTACCCTTCTAATTAATTTCTCATTGTCACAGTCAGGCTATACATAAATATATATATATATATATTTTAATTATTTTAAATGCAGATAATAATGTTCTGATTTTCTAAAAGCATTTAAGTTATACTAGTTTCAAAATTATTTAAAACTTATAATTAAAACTTCTAAACAAAACTAATTATTGAAATAATAAAAAAGTTGTAAAGAATCATGCTTGTTTGTTTCTTATTATTTTAATGTTTAATTTCAAATAAAATATATATTATATTTCAAGAATATATTATTGATGGACATAATAAGATGATCAATAAGTAATGATGGTGGGGATGCACAATAATAATTATTTTTAAAAATAAACAAAAAATTATTTTGACGTATTTATAGAAATAAAAAAATAGAAGTTTTTGACAAATATTCATAAAATGAATAATTTTGCACACACACATAGCTTCGAACTTTATTGTTCATAACAATAACATTCAAGTGATATATTTGAACTACCAAACAGATACATTTACGTATGTCACGACCCACTATCAAACTATTGAAAATTTACCAAAAATGGAAAATATGGGCTGGGTTCTTATCATGAATTTTGATACTTGAGTGAGAATTAAAAAAATAATAATAAATGAAAGAGGGTGTTGGCGAGATTTGTAAACAACAATGTTTCATGCATCTATTTGCCTCAATATTCTTCCATGAGAAAGTCCCTAATAACCCATTATGGTCGAAAAAACTTTATCTAGCCACCATTTGCGATAAAATTGAAATTTTACTCTATCAAAATAGGAAAAAAATATTAAATAAAAAATAAAAAAATAATTAATTGTTAGCATACAAGTTCTTAAACACCAATGGCTTGGGCCTACTTTTTAAAATCTTTCTATTTCATAAATAAATAATAAAACCTATACAATTTCAATAAAATTTTTTATTAAAATAAATAGATGAAGCACCAAGGGATTCTACTTAGTGGTAATACATTACTTATTCCATTAACTATTAATATTTATATTTTTTGGGAAAATTAAATGGCTCAGTAATTCAAGTTCAACATATCTCTACCCGATTCACTTTTTAGAATAATTTCATTTTTGTTTCTTCATGACAAACATTTTATTACCTACGAGCATAAAGCTGTACGCAGTCTAAAAAAAAATCATAAAGAAAACCTGTAGATGCAAAAAGACATTGATATTTGTAATTAAATAATTATGATGGTCAAAGTAGACAATAAACATATGTTAACTAACAAAGCCTAATCTTTGTGCTTTACCATGGCACCCTACCTTTTTATGCATAGCACTTTGAATTACATTAACAATTTGCTTATATTACAAGCTCAACCTCCAAGAACACAAAAGCTAAAAAAGACATTTTTTTTACACATTGATGCTTACAAAACACTCCAAAATATGATGTTATTGAGACGCCTTGTGGTTGCAATGAGAAGCGACCAAAAAAGAAGTCTTGGTAGTGAGGTTTGGAGGGAAGCCCAATGCAATTTTTTTATTTGCATAGATTAAGCATCCCCATGAGAAGGAAAACATCAGGCTATATATTACCCACGCCCATCATGCAAGCCTTGAAAGGCTTAAAAGGATAATATATTATATTAATCTCTTTAATTAGTTTATGGCTAATCACACTTTAATGAGTTGTTAATGAATGTTTCATTGGTTTGGACCTTAATCTTGTCACAGGGCACATGCAAGGGGAAGAGAAATTTGATTAATTTAATTAGGGGAAGATTTCACATATTACCTTTAATTTAAAATAATAGAATATAATTTGTTGCCATTAGGCTTTAGCTTAGGAGCTAATTAATTGAATGTTGTCTTGTTTATTATGTCATTCAAATACAAGAAATATTCAATTTATAATATTATTTATTGAATATTATTATGTATTTTGTTTACTTGTTTAAGGAATTTAATGATATTAAGAAAATAAATTTCTCCTTCCCTCTTTCTTACAAAAATATATTATGATTGGATAATTTGGAGTGATAGTAAATAAGTATTAACTAGTTGTTCTAAAGATTATGACATCATGCTTTCAGATATGATATAAATGCATACATTTGAAATTAATGCAGAGGATAATTCCATTTAATGGATGGCGAGTGATATATCTTAATATACTATCATTTGCCCTAAGAACCTTGCATTATTTTCATTTAAATTTTGTTGAATATCATCCCTCATTAAAATGAAAAAATAAATCTTCATGCATGCATCAAACTATATATCATGCAATGCTAATTATTAAATAAATTAATTAAAAATTAATTATCTATAATTGAATTTTAATTCAGTATAAATTTTAAAGTAATCACATACGCCTTGAGATATTTAAATATTAGGGTATTACATACGCCAAGCCTTAAACATAGATGCACGTATTACTAACCCAATGTTCAAAATTTACTTGCTTTACACTTAAAACCTCTCCATATATCAAATAGAACACTTTATGACGTCAAAGCTTCCGTGTTCCTCAGTTCTGCGAAAAATTATTAGAAGTTGAGTCCGCATGCATGCGGACTTCAGTACATCATGGTTGTGTTAGTTGTATTTTTAATATGTCTAAAAAATACAATTAATACAAACATGCTGTATTGAAGTATGCATGCTTATACTATCCTTAACATCATATGATTAGGGTCGTCAAAACTGTTTTTTATTCATGAACAATTAAGGTTCGGCTCGCTAAGCAAACACGGAGCACAAATAACTTCTTTTTTTTGTTCAAAATATAAATGATCAGAATAAAAATAATGATATTTTTACGAGTTAAACATAAGCTGATCTCAGGCCCAAATATACATAAAAATAATCAAAAGTTCGCAGTTAGATATGTAAATGGAGCAAAAATAATAATAAATTAAAATCAATGGTTAGTTACATTGTCGAGGCCAAATATACATAAAATGAAATCAAAGTTAATTTTAAAGTTAACATTATAAGCTTCGAGTGATAAGCTGTCAAGTCAAATGAAATATCTTAATTTTAATATTATTATAATTGAAATGAAATTTAAAAATAATGTCTTGATGTGATAGTTAAATATTAAATAAATAAGATAAAAATTTAAAATCTTACCCAAAAGCGATATAGTTATAATTACAAACATAGCACTTGAATCGTGCTGTTGACAAAATCTTGTTATTTACGGTATCTAATATTCGAAAAAAATATTACCTTAAGAGTACTAATGCATCAGTACTTTAATGGAGAGATGCCACGTATACAATGATCTCATCATAATGCCACATGACACCTCCCCATTTGAGTACTGATGCATCAGTACTCCTGAGGTAATATTTTTTTCTAATATTCAGGTGATATTTTTAAACTACCAAATACGTCACAATAAAATCATGAACAATTTCTTCTTTAAAATTTTGAAAGAAGTTTATAAAACTAGTACAATAAATCTTAGAAAATTTTAAATGTCAGTATTGAGTGGGTGATTTCTTAGATGATATTTACTATTTCTAATATAAGATTCGTATGATATTCTAATTTATACTGATTTTTTTCTGACCAAATTGAATTATAATTGAACTAATTATATTATTAGAGCTAAAAATTGAGTGGCTATGAAGCCATTAATGCATAATTTGTGATAATTCATATTATTTGTTCCATGAAAATCGGAAATGCTGAGCCTTCCTGCTTTAGTGGATCGAAGATATAGAGTAGTCCAAGCCCCGATTTACTAGTGGGCCAAGAGATGGGCGCATGACCGGCAATTAGCGCTGCAATTCATCAAAATATAGAAAAAACACGTTTTGAAGGTACAGAACTAATATATAAACTACTTCTCTTCCCTTGGATTCTATAATTTTATGATATTTGTTGGTTATAAAATAAATTTATGAGATTGAACTTTTATACTTGAATTGCTAATAAATAATATTTTTAAAAATTTTAAAAAATTTCTTTTATATGACATTGAGGGGAGGTGGCTAGCCATAGTTTGGTTTAGCAAGCCGGTGGTAGCTAATTATGAGATGGGTAGTCTTGTGATTGTGTCTAGTGGTCTTCGTCTGTGATGACTCGTGGTGAATTGTATGTGAGTTATTGGCTACAATTCAGTACGATAAATAATAAGTTTGAGCTACAATGATATGTGATCAACAAATAACAACATGACAGGAAAGTAGATGAATCCGAAAAATATTTGAATTGAATAAATTTGAAATAAACCAAAAGTAAATTTGAAATGTATTAATATATTACTTTATATCTCTTTTCCAATCAAAATTTTAAAATCCTTATATTCATGTTATTTTTATTATTCTTAAAATGTTAAAATTTAAAAATTCATCACTCGTTACTTTCCTCAAATACAGAGCTCAATGCTTTTGTTTTTACGCGGGCCGTTGAAAAACGAAATTCCGGCCCTCATAATCGTTCACGGCCTCTTTCCAGTCAACGGACTCCATTTTTCTAGATCAAGGCCATTTTTTGCCAAAGATCACCACCGTTCATTTTCCACTCTCCCGCTCGAAAGAAATCTCCGCTTCTTCTTCCGAAACCCTCGCCACACCCTTCTCCTTTACTCGCTCTAGTCCCTGCACTATCTAGTTTTCAAGAAACTATGGAGCATTCGCCGTCCTCATCTTCGCAGTTGCCTTCTTTGGTAGATCCTGCAAAGCTTTTTATAGGAGGAATCACTAAGGAGTTGGAGGAGGACGTGCTGAAAGATTACTTTCAGAAGTTTGGGGAGGTGAAAGAAGTGGTGGTGATGAGAGAAAGAGCTACGGGGAATGTGAGGGGCTTCGGCTTTATTGAGTTTTTTGATTCGGAAGCTGCGGAGAGGGCCATCAATGAGGGGCAGCATCTCATCCGGAACAGATCGGTGAGCTCATTCACATTCTATCTCGTTTATTTCAAGGAAAAGCTAAGTAGTTATTGACGAGGAATGCGTAAGAAGTTTATTTTGTTAGCTTGTTGAAATTTGTCTTGCGAGCTTTTATGCTTTTGCCTGGTTTTAGTATCGATTTTTAACTCATGTGAGGAATTTCAGTTTAGACTGTTTGGGAAGTTTGAGAAATTTCAAATTCACGTTGCAATTGTTCAGGAAGTTTGGAAAATATCTTAGAATGTGTCGGTACAGACCTGATCTTCTAGGTTGGTGCTTGCTCGGTTCAAGTCAAAATCTAATCTAAAATGGTTGAACAAATCAGTTTTTGACGAAGACTTTTACCAAAATTTTCCAAAATTTACAATATTTTTATAATTAGGAAAGCTTGTTAACTATTCTCGTATGCTGGTAAAATTATAATTTAATATTCATTTCTCTATATGTCCCATTTTCTTACAAATAAAGAATGCGAATCATTAATCAAGTTATAGTAGGTTTGTTCTTTAATTGTTTATTTTCGACCTTCTCCATCTTTTCCTTCGATTGTATTCATTTATGAGGACATCGTTGGATTCTAGAAATTGCATGGCTGAGTGCAAGATCGCTGATTTAAGAATTATCCAAGAAAGATAAACTCTGAGAAAGAAATAATAAATAAAAATAAAAGGAACGATCTACTCTGACTTTCTGTGGCATCTTTCTCGACATGATCCTATGCTGCACGGGATTTTGCGCATAAGGATTCCGCGCACAGAATGGGATGACCTCTTATGGTGATCGAAGTTCATAAGATATTACAGGGATAGAGAAAATTTTCAATCATTCTAATCATTTTTGTTCGGAAAAATTTTTTTAGTCAACTTAAGAATGCTTTACTTTACAACATTTTAACTTGGGTTGCATCTAAAGCAAACTTCCATAACTAGGCGGGGTAAAAACTAATTTTTTGGTTTGAATGTTGCGCAATACTGTCATTACTTAGTTCCATTCAACCGAAGCATTCTACTTGGGTTTGGTTTAATCCATGTATTCTTGCTAGGTTTGGTGCAACCCCAAAATTTCTTTGGGAGTTTGATTGGGTGGTAAAGCTCACATATTAATGGTTGTAGTATTAGGGAAATTCTCTAACTTTAAAGCAAGTGTCTATCAGGAGCAATTATGATGATTAGACAAAAAAAGTTGCAAAAGAGATCAAGCAGTAGAAGATGATGCTGGGATTTATGAGCTTACGTTTGTGGGAGGATAGAGAGGATTTGATTTTTTATAAAGAAGTTAACACAGGTTTGCAAATAAAAGGGCCTTGTTTTCTCTTCTCTGAATCCAATTATATTGAATCTTGCAATAAAAGTGAAACCTCTAAAGGCAAGTAAAAGAAAAAAAATTTCAAGAGGTGATCAAAGAAGAGTATTAACTGATATTAGAAATTAGTATGATAATATTTTTGAAGTGTTGAAAGATCTAATTCAAAATTCAAAATTCAAATTACAATATTTATGTCTTTTCCTTTTCTACAGATATTATTCTTCTTCCTTATTTTTATCTTGCTTAATTAGTCTTGGAATGTAATAGAAATTTCTTTGAATTTATTTAGTTAGTTTCCTTATCTAAAGAGGAGACTCCTATATTTAAATGCACCTTGAATTGAATCATTAAGAAGAAATAAAATTTTCTCTTCAATTTCTGGTTTTATAAAGGTTATTTTCTTGCATGCCTGTTGGGCCATTCACGAATTATATGGTCTAATCGCGCATTTGTTTTGTCGAGATAGCACTTCTAGATTCTGTAAAAAAGGTTCTTTTTGTTTTCCCTTTCTTTTTCTCAAAATAAATTTTTTTCCCATCATCTCTAAGCTGCTTTTTCTTTATTTTTGCTTTCAAAAGTTCCTAGCCAAAATCTCTTCACATATCTTAGCTAATTTTCGTGCAACTTCTCCCAATTCCATTGCATGCATGCAATGCACATGAATTAGTTCACATACGCATGCAATCCTTATTGCCTGATGAGTCAATCCTCATTATTGAATATGAACTCAATTTAAAGCCTATCAAACCCCTGGTTGTCCCTTCTCTATCTCATTATTTTGAGGAGGTGGTATCAAAATTAACTTATTTTAAAATATTGATCTATGTTATCATAAATAGCATAGTTCTTTAAAAATCATTCATATTTACACATCTAACCCCTAAATTTTATTTATTTATTTTTTAATTTATGTCAACTAAATCATTCATATCATATATAAGGTATAAAAATTTTAACTTTTAAAAATGAAATAAAGCTTGTTATGCATGGGTACTGTAGCACATATATTGTACATGTAAAAATTGAAGTTTAGGCATATGCTGCAATGAAGTGGTATGTATGTAAATCTTTTTAATAAATATTGGTCAAGATTTCAAATTATAAAACTCCACTTTAGCTGGTGTTATTTGATGTATCTAATCTTGGTCGTCCAAATTGAATACTCATTGGAGCGGGCAGTTTTTTTGTTAATTATAGAAAATCAGATTATGCCTACTTTTTTACTTTTGTGTTCTAGGGATATTTACATAAATACCAAACTATTTTTATATATGAAAAAAATATAGATCTTTTTGTATATGCTAAGAATATTATTGTGTAAAAATTTTTAACAAAATAATGCATTCTATTTTCGTTTTTAGCTATTCCCTGACCATCCGAGACTTTTAATTGCATTGGATGAAACCCTATCGATTTAGGTTGGGCATGAATGCCCTTGTGTAAAGACATAGATACTAAAAAAGGGGCCTATGCACTAAATTTAAACAATGCTGTGTGTTCATATTGGGTACAATTTATAAGAAGAATGTCCTTACAAATTCTTTGATGTGGCATGACGTAGAGGTTTGTTGGTTTGGGCATCTTGCTTTTGGCTACAAATTGATAGCATTTTTGAAACAAGTTCTGTTATAGTATATTTGCTTGAACCAACCTAAAAGAGGTCATATTTTGGTCGGTGTATGGGCATTGTCATTAACAAAGCATGGTTTAGACTTGAGTGCCCGACCAAATTAGGCAATTTATAAGATGGCTTGGACTTAGACAAAACATTAATTCACTTCAACCCAATTTGACTTACTCAACCATAGTTGGTCAACAAGCCTTAGTTATAGCTGTTTAACCCAGGACATCTATCTTGTTTATTGTGATGGCTAACAAACCTGTGAGATTTGTAGTAGGTTGGTGATGCAAGTTCGCAACATCTTTACATGATCTTATTGAATTTATGACACCTGCCCATGTTGACGTCTCGAGATTTGGTTAGGGGGCATGAGTCCACATGGCTCACTAGGGATCATGGCTGGCGTGCGTGCGCGTGTGTTCCTACATGTGATTTATAAAACTGTAAAGATTAACCTATTAATCATAAGGGCAAAGTTCGTGGAGTTTTTTAACAAATTTATCAAAATTATAATTGAAGAATAGTTTTTTTAAGGGTATCTTAATTCCTTTTTTGCTTGGCTGATGATTTTCACGAAAGTTGCTCGTGAGATTGTGCTGCTTTTGGTAATGATGTGAATAGTAATTTATTGGACAAAATTTGAATCATCATTGTTATTTTAATTGGCAGAAAGCGAGTCTTGTTGTGATTATTTTGCTTAATATAGGAAATCTGTTGTTGTGATTATTTGATTAACAGAGGATATCTGTGGGATACTTCATTCATTATTTGCTGAGTATGTGTCTCTGAGCGAGAAAATAATAACAATTATCCCTTTTCCTCTTAATATGGCCTGTTTTTAGCTGTTTTGAGGAAGATTAGGTTTTATGTAACATGAATCAGCTGAATTTTATTTAGCTTTGTAATTTTTGGTTCTAACCATTATAATTTTTCTTTCTTTTTGAATGATGAATTGTAAAATTACTTGATGTCTCTGTGTTCCTATTCTTCATATGGAACAGCAAATGTTCCCAATTTGGTAGAGCTTGCTCCAAAACAGCAAATATTTTTGCCAGCCCTGCATATGAAGCTCACTAAAGCGAGTCGCATGTAGTTGCATAAGGCTTCTCTAAATGAGGGGACTTGGGACCTCTCATAGCAGATTCTTAGTTCTGCACTGCGAAGGTGTTCTTACCAGTCTTTTACTTTCAAGTCGCAATCAATATAACTTAACCATTTAATTAAGTTATCCTTATACTAGTCAAGGTGCCCTCTATGCTTTGTTTGTCCTTATTTATCTATTTTTTATCATAGCTTTTCAAAAATTGCTTTCTTTGATACAATTTTTGTTATTTTTTTGGCAGTAATTTTTTTAAATTAATTTCTGATAGTGACTTTTGGAGAAAGCATATTCAATTTTTCCATCCAATTAGACCCCGATTTTTGTAAGTGCTTTTACCATAAAAAACAGGCAGAAATAGAAACGAAATGAAGCCTTTGAGAGACATAAATTTATGGAAAAGTTAATTTGGCAGGGACAGATGAGGATTTGTTGGTTTTTTCATCATAACGATGCAAAAAACTGATTATGAATTTCTTTTTTCTTTTTTATAAAAAGAAAATTTCGTTTTTGAATCTTTGATTTTTATTTTCTTAGTTCTTTCTTTTGGGCCATTGTTTATTAGGTGGACGTGAAGAGAGCCAGACCAAGACCTGAAGAGCGGAGGATTTTCCAATCACCTCATCACCCATTTCCAGATCAGAGTACACATATAAATAGAAGGCTAGGTAGGACTGGAGCTAACAATAGCAATAATGATGAGAGTCAAACATCATCTAGGAAGATTTTTGTAGGTGGTTTGTCAGCCAATGTCACAGAAGTCGAGTTTAGAAACTATTTTGAGAAATTTGGTTGCATTACTGATGTAGTGATTATGTATGATAGTGCAACACACCGCCCAAGGGGTTTTGGTTTTATTACCTTTGATACTGAGGAGGCTGTGGAGAATGTGATGCAGAAGAATTTTCATGAGCTGAATAAAAAAGTTGTAGAGGTTAAAAGAGCAGTTCCCAAGGATTTAAATCACCTCAATAATGGTAGCAGTTATAATGGCCACAGTAATACTAGAGGAAGTGGAGGAAGAGTGTCATATGTTAATAACCCACATGTAATCTACCCACCTCATGACCCTAGATATGGGTATTTTTATGGTTATGCACCGCCACCTGTTCCTAATTATGCGTATGGACCACTTGGTTATGGAGGAGGCTACACTTATGCCGGCTATGGTGGAATGGGATATAATGCTTCGTATACAAGTCCAAGGGGCACTTGGACTGGGCAAGGAGGTATGATGGCTGGAAGGAGGAGTCCAGTTTCCTATCCTAATGGCGGTTTCTATCCTGGATATGTCCATATAGGGTCTGGTGGCTATATTGGCCTGACTTCTGGTGGGTACCATGGGGCTGTATGGTCTGCCAATGGCAAGTTCAATCAAACTGGTACTGGTCTGCCATTGTCAGAATTCGATAGTAAAAAACCTTCGGAATTTGACAATGTTAAGGTTGATGATGCTCACTAATATCTTACTTTGTAAGGTCAGTACCATTAACTTGTACTTGTTATTTCATTTCTCTGCTAATGTCATTTTTTACAGTTATTATTTATTAACAATTAAGCAACATTAGTTGTATTTTTTTATATATGTATATATAATACGGCACTCTAGTGCAATGATTGATTCAATGATGGTAATGATTGAAACTGCCTTTATTTTTAATTTGAAGTGAGATGCAAGTGCGTTCCAAATGTTTTTTCTCTAAATTATTCTATGCAAGAATTTAAACATTCCTTTTTCCAAGTTTGTGGTATCGCAAAGTTCCGACAAGTTTAAATAGCTATTTCTAGATTAAATTTACATTTTCTCTAATGATAGTGAATGCCCGTAGTTATTTATCCATTTCTATGACATTGCCGTTCACCACTTTACCCTTATGTTTAAGGTATCATTTCTTGTTGTTTTGAGGTACTTTTTTAGGAAATGGGGTTGTTTTTCTTAAGGCTTCTTTTATGTTACTATATTTTAATTCATTTTCATTCCTTCCTGAAGTTTTAATTATTATACAATGTTTATGTTTAGTAAGGGGGTTGATGAACATGAGCCTATCTTAAAGTTTTCTTTTTTAATATGGTTGAGGCTCTGAAAAGATTCATTTTAGTGTTTCTAATGGGATTTGACGCCTTGGACGGTTAACTCAACAAACATAATACTTGAATAAATTGTTCCTTTTTTGGGTGCTGGTGATTTATGTATTGTGGCCAAGCGTGATGGCTAGGGCTGCAAATTGAGCAACCTGATAATATGCTGTAAAGCGATCATTTGGCAAGTGTCAGAATTAAGCAGCATAGCTATCATTCAATAATATTCATTCTTGCTAAAATATCACGATAGTAGAGTGCTCTTGTATTTTTATTTTTGTATAAAGGTCTTGCACACCCAGATATAAACGAAAAGGAATATCAGAGATCAGAGTTTTACATAGAAATCTCATGAATGAAAAAAACTGCGGGGTTTAGCTTAGATAAAATTATCTACTATATAAGTAAAATACGGAGTTTCACTTTTTTACTTAATTGGAGAAGATGAGATTATAAAGTAATGCACCCAAATTTGGTCTTTAATAATTTTAATAGAGCTAGAAGTTTCGGAGGGATAACTATGTAGGCCAAATAGTGTTAGTAGATCGAAGGATAGTGGATAATGATAGTTGGATAATAATGGTACGGTGATGAGAGTAGGCAATGATGGTCATACAACAATGAATGAGCTATGATGATGGTGGCAGTGGTCAGACGACAACGATTGAATGACGATTTTGATTGATGGTAATTGTCGGAGATCTTGAAAGTTTGAGATTTTCAAGCTTTTTTCTAAAATCAAGTATATCTTACCTTAATTTGGAAGAGGCTTTGTAATTTGAAGATTGACTTTCTTTTGACTTTAATCAAATCCAAAATACTTTTTTCACGACTTGTATTGATTAATTTGATCATATTTCATTTATTTATGTCTCTTGATGATCTCAAAATTGAGTGATCTTTTAATTGATGTTTTGAAGTTTCCAACTATATTTAAAGTGTTTGATTTAGGTTTTTCCCAACTCAAATCATACCACTTTTGGTTTTGTTGTTTTTCTCTTGTTGAAACATTTCCTTTTATTATTAATTTGTTAAATCAAATGTCAAAAATTTTTAAATTTAATTATGAAAGTTTTCATTTTAAAAATTGCATCATGATTCATGAGTAATTGGGTGTATCTTCAATGATGTATTTTTTGCCCTCTACTTCTAGATGTCGAAATTTGCGTTGTCCAAAAAAATATATATATTGGGTCCTTGAGAAAGTTTGCTTTGCAAAATTATTATTTTGAGACACATTCACTACATTGATATCGATGCATTTCTCTTTTTTGACATCGTGAATCAATTAAATTTTTTTTGAATTATGATTTAGGTCATTTTGAAGTTGACACATATGTTGGAGTGATTATTGTGGAAACATTTATCCCAAACTTTCTAAGTTTACTTGAAATTGACTGCAGAGGCTTTGTTGGATCCCAAAAGTATCAATTGAGTCTAGAACATCGACAAAATAGCTTGGAGGATCCTCAAAATGGTGGGAAGGTTCAAAATTTTGTTTAGGATAGGTTAGACAAATGGTGGCACACACACACAAAACAATGCTACTAATAATTGGGTTTTTTTAATTTAGAAAACGTGAAGCTATTTTTTTTGTCAAATAATGATTTTAATGAAAAAAATAATAAAATTTTTTTGCATTATGCTTATGATTTAATAGAAAAAAATTTCATCATCTTTTTTAATTATAAATACGCTTGATGGGTTAGGAAAAACTTTACACCTCTCAATACTCTTTTTGTTGGCTTAAGTTTTTTTGGGTTAAAAGTGCTATGTAGATGAATTGTATTCCCATCTGCAACTTTTAGTATGTCTCTATGATGAGTACCGCTGGTCAGACAATAGCGATCTGACGATGATGGTTGGGTTGTGATCGTCTGATAATGGTGGCTGATTAATGATAATTGTGTGATGGTAGTTGGAAGATGGAAGTAAAACAACATTGAATGAATTTGCAATAGTTAGGTTGTAGTGGTCAAATGTTGATAATTGGACGTTGAAAATTTGCCAATGACAGTCGAATGAAAACAATGTTTGAAGGTGATTGTGGAATTAAAGAGCAGGTAGAGTTCTAGTTTTTTTCAAATATCTAATTTCTCTTCAATTTCAAGTCCATTTTGCTTTCATGTTAAGAATGAAACTATTTATAATTTTTTATAGTGGCATTTTGATAAATTTAGCTGAAAATATAAATATATATGTCATATAGTTCTTGTGATTCTTTTGATCATATACTATTTTTTTTAGCATTTGGGTGTTTGAATAATCTCAGAATTGAGTGATCTTAGGTTTGTTGGACTTTACTCATCGAGACTACAATTTTACTTTTAGCATGTATGGATAGGGTAATCCATACACTACCATTTGATCTCCATCGTCCAGCTACCATCGCATAGTTGTCATCGCTCAACTATCATTGTCAGACTATCTCCGCCCAACCATCATTTGCCCGGTCGTTCTTATTTGACCATCGTTGCCCAATAGGTATAATACAACCATCGTCATCGCTTAGTTTATTTGGAATTATTTAGCATGTACGGTTTAATTAATGCCTCAAAGTTTTCAATCATATTTTATATACTTGATTTGCTCTTATTTGGATTGGTGGATTATTTTTTATGTTGTTGCATTTATTTATCAAGTTGTTTAGTTTAAGTAAAATTTTTTGTCAAATTGGAGGTCAAATGATTCTCAATTTAATTATGGAAGTTCGTAAGCTAAAAATATCTCAAGATTCATGCTTGATTGGATGCATCTTTTGGTGATGAAGGATCTTTTGGACTAGAATACTTTTATGCATCAAGCTACGTTTTTTTTCTTAATCATTCAATTTGGCAGACCAACCATGCTTGTGTAGGCGCTTTCTTGTTTTCTACAGGCTAGGAGAAGCAATTGCAGTGAGTGTCATAAGATTGTTACATTGACAGACATGGGAGGCGGACGGGCTGTAAGAGAATTGACTTGATTCAAGCAACTTAATTAAGTGCTCAATCTGATTCTTAATGAAGTCTAGTGATTCTGGAATGTTCCAAGTGGGAGTCGGCTGTACTGTTGTTGATTCTGAGGTCTTAGAGAGACCCTTAACAACAAAGGATTTGGCCGAATGTTTATTTGTCGGTTTCCCATGGAGCTTCCAACACTTTTCATGGGTATGGTAGGGTTTTTGACATAAATCACATGTGGAGTGATTAGCTCGTAATGACATGAAAGAGTCTTGAGCACTATTGGAGCTTAAGGGCCCGTTTGGGGCAACTTAACAGGTGTAGCACATTTTGAAAACACTGCCCGAAGCATTTGGAAAAAGCGTTGGATCAAATTATCGGAATAAGCTGTGAATTTTTTTATGTTAAATGCGACTACAAGTCAAATCCCGCGGTCCGCGTTTCATATTTGTTGTGACACCGCTGCCCTCACGCTTCTTTGCTTCTTGTCTGCCCTAACCCCCGATCTCCCTCTTCTCTCCCTCTCGCCCGTCTCTCTCGGCCATCTCTCTCTCGTGCACTTCTCTCCCTCTCACCTGTTTCTCTCGGCGTTGTCATACCACTCCTCCGCCTCCCTCTTACCCCTCGTTATTATCCTCTGTAAGTACATGTGGTAACTGTCGATGAATTGATTTGTATTATACGATATTTAGCATTTTTGATTTGCAATTTGTTGGGCAGAGATTTTTGTATGCAATTTATTTCTCGGTTAGGGATTTCTGTATGTAATTTTGTATATTTTTTCTTGCTTTTAGGATGAATTTGGCTTCTCACAACAAAAGTATGAATTTAATTGTCAAACTAAAGGTAAGTGGTTTCTGTTATGCGCTCCTATGGTTGTTTAGTTTACAGTTTTTTTTTATATTCAATTTGTTGCTTTCTCGAGTGCTCTGTTTCAAAAAAATTGAACTATGGTGATTGATTTATACACGACATTGTTCTCTGGCTGCTCACCTATGTAAAAAAATTACATAGGTAAATTTATAGGAATACATTTCAATATGGGATGCAGTTTTTGGTAATTGCTTTAAAACACATTAATAGGTGGAAGTTTGATTATTTGAGTATGAGAATATGAAAATTGGATGAAAAATGATGCTTAAGTTAAAATTGAATTGCACTTTGTAGTGTTTGACGTTGTTGCATTGTTATTTTTATCGTATAAACATAGGTCACTGTATTGATGATATGCATGTTTTGACATGAAAGATTGTGTTGGGGGTGGAGGGTGGTGGAGGAAGTGGTGGTGGGTGTGTGATTGTGGGTGTGTGATTGTGGGTGGAGGTGATGGTTGTGGGTTTGTGATTGCGGGTTTGTGTTGGTGGTGGAGGGTGTGTTGGGGTGGCTGGTCGTGGAGGTGATGGCTGTGGGCGTGTGTTGGGGGTAAAGGGTGTGATTTGTGATGGCTGGTGGTGGAG